TTAGCTTCGAAACTTGGGGAGCCTGGGTGTGGGGTTTTATTTCGCGGTTCTTTATTAAAGTTGTATGGGCTTTTGTATGTATTAAAAGAAGAAACACAAGACTTAAAGATCAATGGCAATTTTGGTGATGTATTAACTTTGAGCTTGATTGTTACTCTTTTAAAGTTTGTACCAAATATTTTATAAGTTTATTGATTTTTGAGTAGGAGGCGAGGAAGGGTTTCGTGTTGCAAATTCAGAAATTATCTGATATCGAGAGGGAAACTAGTATTAGCATAAATAGATGTGTTGATCTGGGGAGAACAGCTCTTTACATAGCAGCGGAGGATGATTCTCTAATTTCCCACTCTTCTGTTCCTCTGCCGGTGGATGCTTTCCTTGAAAGATTGGATGATCTTTCCATGGGCTACTGCTCTCACTATAACTCATCATGTAGGTCGTCACGGGAGAACTTTTTGGAGAGCATAGAGAAATATTTATTTGTCAAAAAGGTACTTACAAGAAATTTTTAAATGCTCATAATTTAATGTCTTAATTTTATTAGTGTTATTCGTTTCAATTTCAGGTCCATTCACTATAACAAACAAAATTTTTCCAATTCTACTGACTAACTATATCAACTCTATTGAACTCGAGGAATTATGCAACATTTTGGGTAACACAAACTTTTTCTTCAGTAAATGTCGTGCGGAATGTGTTGTATTTGACACTGTTGCTACTATGCTTCTTTAGTTGTATATACCAAAATGAAGCGTTCCATCTTCTTTAGTTGCAAATCAATCTAATACTTTTAACTTCATTTAATTCTAGCTATTAATGCAATCGTATTTTTCTAATTGGTCCATGGATTCACTTTTTTCTTTAGGGCTTCCGAAGATCTAGTGCAAAGAATCAAGCAGAGCCACGAGCCCTTTATCTTAACTCGGTATGAAAGATAGCCTTTTATTATATGAATTTATGTTCTTTTCTGAAGGGCATACTATTTTATAAGGATTGTTTTGTTAATGAATCTTAAGTTTTGAGCAGGTTTTGACACATCGTTCAGGTTCTGCTGTAATGCTTTCTCTTATATATTCAGAGATCCTGAAAATGCTTCGCTTGTGGGGCCTTCTGGATTTTGATGTTGAGATTTTTTTCCCACTTGATCTTCATGGTCTTCCTAGAGCCTATGATAAGCAAAAAAGCAAAGAGTCTGATGAGCCACACATAATGACAGTACAAATGCTATTGGAGGAGGTGACATTTACACTTTTGGCCCTTATATGTTTTTAACTTCTTACTTTTATCTTTTAGATCCTATCTAAGTGAAGTGAAAAGAAAATACTAGTTATTGATTTTCCAGTAAGTTTTTACTGTATCTTGTGTATTGTGTTTTCACTTTTGTTAATAGCTACAATATGGGGACAAAAGAGGAACATAAGTAGAAAAACTGGATGCTAACTTGGATATCAGCTTTGTACTATGTCTGCATGTGCTTTTTACAGTACAATGAAGTGACGAAACTGATATGTGAAACGATTGCAAACTATTTGATTAATTCTCTCCTTTCTCTTTTGCAATTCTTTTCTCCTATGTTTCATGAGAAGCTAATGGTGGCATTTTTGAGATCTCAACAACATTTAAGTGGTATTATAACTGGTGTGGTAGTTTGGTTTAAATTTTGATTATGTGCAATATGAAGAGTTCCAATATAACATTCATCTAGTGGGTTATCTGTTTTCTTTCTTGGTACTTGTGGTAGATTTATTATCCATATAAACAACTTTGGCATTTTTCTTTGATCTAATTGTCATGTATATTGCATCTTCTCCCTTTTTTGTTTTTACTTGGTTTTACTTTTTGCTTTTGTTATTTTGTTCTTATCAAATAGTTTCACGATTGCAGATTTTGAGAAATTTGAAGGATGCTTTCTGGCCATTTCAACATGATCATGCTGATAGTTTGTTTTTAAGGGCAGCACACGCTGCTAACTGTATTGATAAATATAATGGCATTCAAGAGAGGTATCTAATCTGTGTTGCAGTATAATCTGTGTATATATGTGCTTTTGAAGTTCCAGATTATCATTTTACAATTCTTTTCTTGTAGTGGCTATCAGCTTGCATCTGCAAAGGCTGCTCAACATAGGCTAGAGCGGGGTGTTTGGACTAGTGTGCATTTTGGGGATATGAGGCGTGCTTTGGCTGGTATGTATTTAGAAGATGATGTTTCAGGAGTAAATTCTTTTTCATTTTAGTAATAATGTTAGATCATGATAGTCTAGAGGTGGCAAAAGCAAACCTAAATCTACTACCCAAAACCTGACCAACCTAATCCAAATCTGACTTAAAAGGTGAATGATCTGGACCCAACATAGCCCAAACCTGGCTAAGCAGAATATCTAAGAACAAGTGCCTTCTCTATGAAGGCAAACGAAGTGTACTCAAACCAAAATAACGTGATGCAACCTCCCATGAATACCCAAATGGCGCTTCCGTAATTGACATGGAATGTCAACAACCTGAGTGTAGTTTGCGCTGAACCTGGCACTAATTGGCCAATTTGGCATGCTTTTTATCAGCCAATGTGCAATAATTTCCTTTTTAGAAAAATAAAGGAAATAGGAGTATGATCTGCCTCAGTTTTCTAAATTGTTGGAGTTAGAAATAAGGACTATGTGGAACGTATGGATAGGATCGATTTGTGTCAATTGAAATGAACATGTTATCAAAGATCAATAGAATGGGAGGATAGTTGAAGCGTGTTTTTGTGCTTGCCTTCTATTGTCCTCTTCTCTGGCGATGGAAAGGCTAAGAAGATTATTTGCTCTATTTCCAGTCTAAGCATTTGATCTTCCTTCTCTTTTTTCTTGTCAGCTCAATGTTTTGTTTACCTCGTTTATATTGTTTGTCCTCCTCCTCTACCTTAGAATTTATTTTCTCCAACCTGCTGTAAGAAAAATCTTTTTATTTCCCTTGTCCAATGGTTTTTTCTCCTGAAATTGTTTGCCTTGATACATTTGAAATGTGATATTGAGGTTAATGTACTTACTTTATTATTATGTTATTGTTACTCTTGTTGCAGCATGCGAACGTCTTATTCTTCTACAAACTGAGCCAAAGGAAATGAGAGATTACAGTGTTCTCCTTTACCATTGTGGATTGTATGAGCAGGCTCTGAAATATCTCAAGTTGTATCAAGACACAAAGGTAAATTTTACAGTTGACATAATATCTGAATTTTAATTCAAATTTTATGGACTGGACTAAAGAGGTTTAATAAACTATTGCAGAGTTCTTCCTCAGAAAACCAGCCAGCAAATTCAGTAAGCAGCCTAGAAGAAGATGCTGTGCAGAAATTGATTGTACGTCTCAAACTCATTGCAATGGAGGAAGGTTGGACCCGGCCATCTTATGTCAGAAATTTTCTCGGCAATAACTCCGAGCCATGGTAACGCCTTAGTACGTTGTACCACATTAAAAACTGTTACTCATCTTTTCTGAGATGGATAGTCAAATTAGAGTTTAGTCTGCAGAACATAAGTTCACATGTCCGGAAAAGGGTGTGGGATCCCTAACGTGGTCCTAACACAAGCCGGCACAGAGCCTAAGATGGATGGACCCGAAATTAGAGATGCAACGTAGGCATTGACACTTGAATATTTGAACATGGTGGAACATCATCAACCAAGGTAGTTCATACATGAATTTGACAGAGGGTTTCAGGCTCAGTAGTTCTTTATCCCTGTACAGCACCAAAAGTTTTGTTTCCAGAAACCTTTGTAAATGCCTGTATCATTTTCATGATGTTTGTATTTAGCAAAGCAATAATAGAAAAAAAGCCTATATCGGAAGGTGTGTTTAATGAGTAATATATACAATTGTTGGACCCCAAATTGATGTAGTTCAGTCATCTCTAAAGGTGTTCATGGATCGAGTCGGGTTTGATTGATTCGGGCTTGGAGCAGCACGTTCTGGTTATTTAAATCATATTTATATTGGAAATATTAAAAAAATGTTTTTCTATTTTTAAGTATATTTGAGATTTAAAATCAAATATTTATTAATATAATAATATTTCAAGCCAAGCCAGGCCGGAAAATCCTGTCAAAGGCCCCGCTTGTGAAAATAAATTACATAATTTTTATTTCTGATAAATGGAGATTAGAGGGAAACAAATAAAGGAGCCCCAGACTTGGTGGGAACAATAATTTATTATTCCTAGAATCATAAATATCAACTCAATTTTTTAATTTTATTTTCTACTAAATTAAAAATGCCAAATATGATAAAACCTAGTTTATTATTCTAGAATTATGATATATATATATATATATATCAAAACACTTGAATTAAAACTATTTTTTATTTATTTGATCATCTCACAACCAATAAAATCAATACAGTATTTTTCTGTAAAACATCATACGAAATAATCACTATAGTTTAGATGACATAAATCATGTGGGAATTCATATTATTTTGTCATTATCCTATTAGAATTTAGTTTTTTGAGATTAGATATGCAGATAAATATTAATTAAGAGAAGAGACCCAATTCTACAAGAGTTGTTACAGCTTTATTTTTGTATCTAAAAAAATACTAATAATCACATAACTTAAAGCCCAAATTCTGGTCGATAATATATATCAAGAGACTAGATAATTAACATTTTGCTATCTTGAGATATAATGAGGTAAAGATGAGAGCACAACGTGACCCCAATAATATATCATTAGATATACATTCTAAATTATATTAATATCCTACAGAAATTCATTACATAATATTAATTACCTTGGGATAATGATAATTTTAAGCTTAAGATTAAGATTAATCCCAAGTCAGAAACGAAATGAAAATGGAATTGTAAAGCAAGTGAAGTGCTTTGGAATGTGGTCTATAAAAATGGGTGACGGCAACCATGGCTGCATTGTCAATGAAGTGAAAGGAGAGAGGGAAAAATGAGGATACAAGGTTTAGCTATTAAATTATTATTTCTTTTGTTGA